ACACATAAAGACTGATGCACGCAGGCAGATTTTACTATTAGGCAGTAAACGATTCCAGAATTGAGGCAAATTAGAGTCATTAAGCCCTATAGACATGGTTTTTATGTGATTGTGATTTTAAACGTACAGGCAGTGTTGTTGTATCAGAACAACCAATTTATAGATTATAGGTGTTACAGATCCTATAGGCATAATCTCTAAATGAGGCAATGAAGCCGTTTGAAAGCGTGAAATAATTACCCGCGTTTGATTTCATTAGCATATTTTCTAGGCGAATAACAAACATCCCATAGGCAGGATTTCTAAGAGTTGGCAATTGAAACTGATTCTATAACTCTTCGTCCCTATAGGCATGTTTTATAGGCGAGCAATATGATAGAAACAACAATAGCTAATTAATCAATTAAGATCCTATAGACATGATATCTAGATGAGGATCATAAGTTAATAATGATCCTATAGGCATGTTATTTAGTAAATACAATTCAGTTGCGCAAATTGAAGGACAATTATTAACATTTGCTCCCTATAGGCATGCTGTCTAATAACGGTTAGCACTAGACATGGGGAACAAATAAAGTACTTAAGCTCATGCTTTGATAGTAAACAGGTTGAGTGAGTGTGTGATTCCCTATAGGCATGATTTCTACCAGTGAGCAATACATGAAAACAGGTAGCAGATATGGCGTGTCGTTTGTAGTAACAAAGAGATCACAAAAACATTATAGGCATATTTTCTACCCTTTTATGCAAATATTAGAATATACCCGTTTCTCCAATTTCACTAACACCTTATTACAGGCCCAGATAATGAATATAAGTATAAATATTATACAAGGAATAATAGTAGGCCTAACAGCAGGCCCAAAAGGAGATACCCAGTATTGCCTGGGCCTTCACAAGCTCATTCTTCGCAAATAGCATGCCTAGATCCAAGCATCTCTTAAACATGAGACTATGCCCATCAGCATAGCCCAAAGTCACAGAGGAACTCATGCCAGGCCAAACAGTTACACCTGACCCAAATAAATTATAGAATCACAGAAAAATCACTTAATCAACCCAGTTTGCAGATTCAACAAATGAAATGAGGGAGAAAAGCTAAGTGTCAGAGACAACTTAAGTTCCACCAGCAAAGAGAATGGCCAAAGGACCCCAAATCCTAGTGCGTCAGAGTTCATAGGAGTCTCAAATGGACCCCGAGCAGTGCTCACACTAGGGAAGTCGATAGAGAGAGTTTTTGCGGCCTTGGCTTTTAGTCAGCCAAGAGTGATAGATTCAGAATAATGTAGATAACAAATGAGAGTGAGAGAACAGTGATTAAGTGAAGAATTTGAAGAGGTGCGCTTGTACTTTAGAAGCAGACATAGTAGGTTTGATTAAACAAAAAACATGCAAGCTAAGAGAATCAACAAGACTTAGAGGACAAGTTGACATTGACATTACAGGTTCAAACACTTAGCAAGAGATAGCATATTGGGCAAAAAACATATTAAGAGTTAGGGGAATCAGGTTTTCTGAGATTATAGGATCAACATATAAGGGTACACAATGCCACACAAATTCAGAATAGAGCATTAACCTAGAGGATTTCAAATGTCAGTCTAGTACAATGAAAGTTCTAGCACGACAGTTCTAATAAAGTCCCAGATAGCATATCAATATACTAATGGTACATCTTTGCCAATATCATGAAAACTTAACATGATGGGAATAGATCATGGTCCGGAGACTTATGACATGTAAAAGGGGTAGATTAGCTACTGATTAAAATACATAAGAGGGAAAATGGGCTGTTTATCCTAAAATCTTAGGTGGTGCTAAAAATTAGGATTACAAAAAGCAAGGAAACATGTGTAGAGTAAACCTTAAAGTAGTGTAGCAACATGAAACCCATACAGTTGTGGCTAGTATAGAAAGAACAGTCGGTTAAGCACAAGACTCAGCATTAAATGATTCATTCAAAGTAGATTGAGGGTTTCATAGAGTTTTAGTAGTATCCAAAGCAAGGCATGAAGAGGATTCTATAACTAACAACAAATAGTCATGACAGTCAGATTCATCAAAAGAACATATAAAATAAGCATGGATTGAAACTCAAAGCTCGAACATGTTCAGATGATAAGGAAACATAGAGGTATGGAACTGATTCTAGAGGAAAACAAGGAAAACCCACATAGAAGTGCAGGACATAGTGAAGAACACATATGAGCCTCACACAAACTAAAAACAAGCAGAAAACTATCCCATGTACTAAAATGCATTCAACTATCAAAGAACATAGAATGACAGGGGAGTATTGAACGATATTATAATAGTGCAATATCAAGGATTCACAACTAAATCATGCTCACAGAATTCAAACACATATAGGTATGCAGAAGAAAAATATTTAACATTGCAAGGGTTTAAAACACTAACTAGTAGCAATATTAGACGAGCAAAAAAATATTAAAGAGCTTAGAATACTGGTAGCAAGAACCCCAGGTCTCCTATGCTTCAGAGTTCACAAAATCCTCGTAAGGGCCCCGAGAAATGCTTGCACCGGAGGAGGTAGATAATATTATGGCCTTGGCTTTCAGCCGGCCAAAGAGCCAAGTAATTCAAAGAAGATGAACGGGTGAGAGAGAGGTATTGAGAGTAATAGCAGTGATATCTTCCGTTTTAAAGGGGAATTGGGGAGGGGTTTATATAGTAGTAGAAATTAAACACCCAAATAAGGAAAAATCATCAGTAAAATACGAGAAAGGAAAGAATATCACATGTCGAAAAATCAGTGAGGAAGAGGGAAAATCTCAAACCCTAGTTGATACAAATCCAAAGATTCGACCAAAGATCTTGGTGAATCGGCCTCATATTACCTTGCCATGAACGTATACAGATGGAACACCATCTAGATCTTGAAGATTGAAGACGGATTCCCTTTGATTCGAAGATTTATACTTGCCAAAATAGAGAAAGTACCATATAATACCATAAAGAAACAACCAGTAGCAAAGGAACACCAATATGGTAAGCAAATAAAGGGTGAATCCCATTGTTAACGGGATTAAGAGAGGGTTTGGAAAAGGCGGCGATTAGGGTTCTTCAGAGCAGAGGGGGGATTCTAGGGATTTCAGGGCGGCCGGTTGGTAAGAAATGGGCTAGGGTTTTGGGTAAGGGGGAAAATAAAGAAACGGGTAGCTGTGTTATGGGCCATTGATCATTTGAGATCAAGGGTCGGGATTGCAAGGGAAACTGGGCGGGTTATTTGAAACGGGTTCTTCCTAGGTTGAGATTAAGGGGTTGTTTGGCTTGGGATTGGGGATTGGGCTAGGGATTTGGGTCTGTTTGGTCTGAAAAATTAACTCAAAATTAGGCCAGCTTTTAAAATAAGAGATTAACGGGAAATAATTTAATAAAAATAGTTAAACAAAAATATAAAAATGCTATTTATGAAATTTAATAAATTAAAATAATAGTAGAAGATTATAAAAATGATAAATGCAGTAAATTGCACAATATAAGTCATTATTGCAAGATTGTGAAAATAGCCTAAAAATACCAATATAATTATATGAAATGAAATAAAAATTTTTGAAACATATATATGGATGCAAAATAATAATTTTGGATCAAAACAATAATTTGAAGGAGTAATTAATAATATTCAAGTAATTTAGATGTAAGAAAATTAATTTTAAAGCTTTAAAAATTGCTGAAAATTATGAAAAATACATGTATAATTCTTATAAACTAAATAATGATGCAAAATGACATATTGAAAATATATAGAATATTTGAGAAGATATGAGGGTAAAATTGGGTATCAACAACAAACTGTATTAGAGAAGCTGAGAGAGAGGTGTTAGGAGTCTCAAACCGTTTCTCATGTGGTCGCAGGGAGGAGTAGTGGTAGAATGAAGAGGTCCAAGGAAAAGTGAAATCCAAAAAGCGGCATATGTGAAGCTAGTAGAAAGCATATATGAGGTGGAGAAGAGGGAAAATAGGGAGTGGTATAAGGCGGCGAAGTTAATAGTTACTACGGCTAAGACCGCGACGTTCGAACATCTGTATTAAGAGCTTGCGGAGAAAGGCGGGGATAAGAAGTTGTACAGGCTGGCCAAAGTAACAAAAAGGAAAGCATGTAACCTAGATCATGTGAGGTGTATAAAAGATGAGGAGGGTAGAGTTTTGATGGAAGAGGCGCAAATTAGACAGAGATGGCAATCATACTTTTATAAACTCTTGAATGAAGGAGAGGATAGGAACATTGTACTAGGTGGATTGGAGCACTCTAGGAGTCATTGAGATTTTGGATAATGTAGGCGCATACGATTAGGGGAGGTCGAGGGGGCTATGCGCAGGATGAGAATGGGTAGAGCGACGGGACCAGATGAAATCCATGTAAAATTCCAGAAGAGTGCGGTCAAGGCAGACTTGAAATGACTTTCTAGGTTGTTTAACATTATTTTTAGGACAAGGGTGATACCTAAAATTGCAATAACTATAGGTGTATCAAGATGCTAAGCCATACAATAAAAGTTTGGGAGAGAATGGTAGAAGGGAAGGTGAGGAGAAATATGTTTATTTCTCAAAACCAATTCGGTTTCATGTCGGTGGTTTAACTACAGAAGTCATTCATTTGGTGTGAATATTGGTAGAGCGGTATAGGACAATGAAGAAGGACTTGCATAATGTGTTCGTTGACCTAGAGAAAGCATGCTACAAAGTCCCAAGAGAGGTACTATGGAGGTGTTTACGGGCTAAAGGTGTGTATGTAGCATACATTAAGGTAATTAAGGACATGTATGATGGAGCTAAGACACGGGTAAAGACAACTAGAGGAGACTTAGGATACTTTCTAGTTGAGATGGAGTTGCATAAGAGATCAACCCTTAGCCCATTTTTATTTTCCTTGGCGATGGACGCATAGACGCGACACATTCAAATGGAGGTGCCGTGGTGTATGTAATTTTCAGATGATGTAGTTCTGATTGACGAGACACGAGGTGGTGTTAATGAGAGACTGGAGATTTGGAGACAGACTCTTGAGTCTAAAGGTTTTCAAGGTGAGCAGGACTAAGACGGAGTACTTGGAATGCAAGTTCAGTGACGTTACCCAGGAAGCAGACATAGATGTGAGTCCTGATACACAAGTCATCTTTAAGAGAGGGAGTTTCAAGTACCTTGGGTCAATAATACAAGGTGATGAAGAGATTGATGAGGATGTTACGCATCGTATCGGAGGATGTTCCGGTGTGTTGTGTGATATGAATGTACCATTGAAACTTAAAGGTAAGTTCTACAAAGTAGTGGTTTGACCGACTATATTGTACGGGGCAGAGTGTTGGCCGGTAAAGAACTCCCATGTCCAGAAGATGAAAGTAGCTGGGATGAGCATGTTGAGATGGATGTGTGGGGCATACTAGGTTAGATAAGATAAGGAATGAAGTCATTCAGAATAAGGTAGGTTTGGCCCTCGTGGAGGATAAGATGCGGGAGGCGAGGTTGAGATGGTTCGGGCATGTTAAGAGGAGAAGCACAGAAGCCCCTATTAGGAGGTGTGAGAGGTTAGCCTTGGAGGATATGAGGAGGGATAGAGGTAGGCCAAAAAAGTCTTGGAGAGAGGTGATTGGGCGGGACATGGTGCAGCTGGAGGTGACTGGGGATATGACCCTTGATAGGAGGGTATAGAGGTCAAGGATTAGTGTCGTAGGCTAGTAGGTAGTCGAGTGTTTCCCCTTGTATTCTCAGCTCGATAGCATTAGTATTGCAATGTTATCTTTTATTCTTAGATTATTATTATTATTATCTAGCATATAATCGTTATCGTGGCTTCGGCCTTCTCTTTTTATCTTGTTGGTATTACTACTTACTGCCTTCACTTTCTTTTATCACTACTAGAAATTCAGCAAAAACCGATCGCGAATCGGTTGATCAAAAAACTGGCCAAAAAAGCGACCGACGTAGGTTGGTTTTTCAAAATATTTTATTTTTTAATTTTTTTACGAAACTGACCAACTTTGATCGATTTTCTTTGGTGCAAAAATGTGGGAAACTATTTTTGTGTTCCGCAATTTTTTATTTTCAAGAAACCGACCAACTTTGGTCGGTTTTCATTTAAAATAAATTTTATTAAAAAAATCCAACCCAAATCGATAGGTTAATCCGGCCAGTCATTTTTAAAAAAAACCCGAATTCGTCCGTAATTTTATTTTTTAATAAAATCGACCGACATCGGTGGGTTATTTTCGTGCAAAAATACAATTAAAGAGTATAAATGAAATAAAAGACAGTCTTAAAATAAAATGCACCAATGGTCTGGTGGTAGAATAGTATCCTGCCATAGTACAGACCCCAGTTTGATTTTCAGATGGTGTATTTTTTAATTAAATAATTAAAATACCGACCGACTTCGGTCGGTTTTTTCAGCAATTTTTTCTTTTTTGGAATTTAATTGACCGACCAAAATCGGTCGAAAAATACCGACCAAAGTTGGTTGGTTAGCTCTACCGACCTTGCGATTACCGACCGCAACGAATCGGTCGACTTTCGGTCAATTTTTGCCAATTACCGATCAGCATCGGTCGATTTTGGCGGTCGGTTTTTCCCGTTTTTTAGTAGTGCATCCTTTCTTTAGCCGAGGGTCTATCAGAAACAACCTCTCTGCCCTTTCTAGGTAGGGGTAAGGCTGCATACATCTTACCCTCCCCATATCCCACTTGTGAGAATTCACCGGGTTTGTTGTTGTTGTTGTTGCTATAATATTAAATTTTTCTAATTAATTAATTTTATAAAAAAAATTATCAATTTTGAAGGATTAAAATCGTAGAAATTACAGTAAAGTTAATGGCTCAAGATAGTAGAAATCAAAGTTCGATGAAATTTTAGTTTTACAATGTCAACATGTATGAAACCTGTCGCGCCCCCTTTTTCTCGCAAAATCGGGTTTATAACATTTGGGAGGACAACTCATTCCTTTTGGGAATTTGGGTTCGCTTTGAAGAGTCGCCACCTAATGATCGGGGTGCATTAGGACACCAAGGAGATTTGATTTGAGTAACCAGAGATTGGGTAAGGGCTTGACATTATTCTAAGGCGAAGGTGTTAGGCACCCCTCAGAATCCACTAGTGTGGTTCCCGGCCAGACTATTATTGTGAATTTGGATACAATTAGTATACAAACAAATAGGGCTCAAATAAGAGAGGATTTCATCACATAAAGGTTTGAAAGTAAACAAGGCTTGAAAGAATAATTAGAAAAGCTGATTTTAAAAACAAAGAGCTAAAAAAATTAAAAATAAAGAATAAAGGGAGAGGGGTCCTAGGTTTATTAATAATATGGATCACCCCACAAAATGCCCGGTAATCACTCCTCAATGAGGGGCTACACGTGACATCATCGCGTGGTCGTCATATCCATATCAACCCTTCCCACCCCGTTAAGGTATTAAAGCGCGGAATGGTCTCGTTTACCTATTGCATGCTATTACCCGTCCCAATCCTATCAGTTCCGGAGGTATTAGGAATACTAATCCTAAAGGGAAGGGATGTTAGGCTTATTTGTGGTTTCAAAGGGGAAAATTCTAAGGCGACATACAAAACACGTATAACAAGTTGGGGGAAAGCACATAACAAGCAAAGGCTCAAATATACCCCCTTTCAACAAAGAAATACGTAATTAGCATGACTTACATGTACTGTTTAGGGTCCGGTTGAATACTAAACGTGAAATAACTTGAAGGTTGAGGAAGACTGATTTATTACATAATTCAGATAAGAAGCCCGAATCAGGCCTGCCTGCTGGTTGTAATTAATAAAACTGATTCAGTTTATAACTTTTACCCTAAGGCTTGCCTAAGTGTTGGACAAGGATCCTATAGGCATGGTATCTATTGATTTCAGAACGAAGTAACAGGGTTTGAACTGGACATATACCGATTAAAAGAGGAATCAAATTGTTAAAAGAAAAGCCATTTTTGACGAAGATTATAAGTTCTACCGCTAATAGTACCTGTTGTTGTTGATTTTAGTTCCATATGTGAATGAGGCGATTCAGATTCGATTAGGAGTTCCTATAGGCATGCTTTCTACGTGTAGATGATATTGAACATGGTATAAAATGCAGAAAACTTGTTTTAAGACTTAGGAACATGATATCTAGGTGCTGAATTTTATTTAAGACCTATGAACATGATGTCTAGGTGCGAAATTTGTTTATGACCTATGAACATGATAACAAAAATTTATTTAAGACCTATGAACATGATATCTAGGTGCATTGAACGTACAGATTTAGATAATCCTGTAAGTATGATTTCTATATGGATGTAGTAGTCCTATGATCGTGATTTCTATGTGAATGATGGCTATACATAATTCAAAGGACCTATAGGCATGATTTCTATGTGCATATGCAGAATTCAAAATTCCTATAGGCATGATATCTACTCTTTTTGCATACATAGTTACCCGTCCCTTTTCACTAACCATCCCCAAGAGTTTATTACAAATTATTACAGCCCAGATTAAAGTAAAAAAATACATCAGAAAAAATATAAATAAAAGTACAACCAAGGCGAGCCTGATTCAGACTTCATGTCTGAAATATGAGGTAAACCAACTCCATGAGATCACGATCCAAAGCCTTTCTCCCATTTGAGTGTGTCAAAGTCCCCTAAGAGCCTCAAAGGGTCTCCGGGCAATGCTCACACCCAAATATATTGCCAGATTAGGTGATGAGTGCAGTGTGGAAAGGCCAGCCCTTAAGTGTCCAAGTTCAGAGGGAACTCAAAGGGTCCCAAGGCAAGGCTCACAAGAGGGGGGAGAACTTAAAGACTAAGAAGGTGTGAAAGTGCAGATCAGAATGCTAAAAGGGAAATGGAAGAGGGAATCAACTACAGATAAGCACACACAAGGGGATTCAGGGGAATAGGGGATTGTAAAGAGCCTGTCACTTAGGCAAAGGCATACTTTAGGCATGCCCAACAATGGGGAGTGCTAGCACACCTACAAGCCTGCCAGAATACATACTGTTAGAGGCTAAGATCCCCAGGGGATCAAGTTCAATTCACGGACAATAAATTGCATATTGCCATGGCTCAAACCATAGCTTAAACACATAGGGGGCAGGGGTTTGGGATTCATAATAGAACAGGCAGAAAGAAATTAATAAACTAGAATGAGTGTTGAACTATACATAAGCAGTAAACAGGGATACAAAAGCAGTAAATAAACACATTGTTGTGGTGCTGAAACTTAAATCAGGACATACCAGTTTCAAAGAAACAAATAGAGAGAAAGCAAGCAACAAGTCTTGTAATAGGCCATAGTATAAGCAAACAAGAGAGAATACTTTTGAGTATAAGTGTAGGTTCAGAAAGACTATCAGTGATTGTTTGTGTATGTCAATGAAAGGGTCGTGCATTTATAGTATGAAGAACATGCAGAAACAAGGTAAGAAAACAATTAAGGAACTGAATATCAATTAAAAAAATCAATCAATACAAGATTTCCTTTAATTAAGGAATTCAGACTCAAACGGTAAAATTATTTAAGGAAAGAAATTAAATAAACATCTTGTGCAAAGTAGGCAATTAGGGGTAAATACATAGGGGTTTTAATTAAGGGAAGAATTTTGAAATACACGGTTAAAACAAATAAGGTAAGGATCCATCAGTATTCAGTAAATCAAGGGGTCAGAGGTTTGAAATTACTGGCTCATGAATAGGCTAAGGAAAGTTTTTGACTCAAATCGAGTAACAGGGGAAATCAGCAAACAAGGAAAGAAATCAATCAAACTTACACAAGGAAGTCTGAAATCAATNGGAATCCTAGAGGGCCGGTAGGTGGTGAGACCACCATAGATTCAGGCCAGGAGGTGGCTGGAGAAGGTGAGTGAGACTCATTGGAGCTGAAGGGGAGGGGGAAGGTTCTAGAGAGAACCAGAGATAGAGAGATAGAGGAGAGGGTCTGTTGAGTGAGGAATGAGAGGGGTTTGGGGGGTCGTTTGGTTTAATTTGGAAAGAAAGAATCCGGACCGTTGATCAAAATTGATCAACGACCAAGATTCAATCAGATTGGGTCGGGTAGATCTGGAATTGGGCTTGGGTCTATTGGGCTGGTTTAATTGGGTTGGGGTATTGGGTTTAATTAGGCTAAATTAGGGGACAATCTGGCTATAAGTTAAATAGCCCCTTTTTTCCCATTTAATTTATAAAAATAGTAAATAAATTTCTAAAAACTAATTAAAAGTACTAAAATGATTTATAGTGTATAGTTATCAATTTAAAAGTATAAAATCCCATTTTATAAACATGAGACGAATTTAAACCTAAAAAATGGCTAATATTGCAATTATGCAATTTTGTCCTTAAAATACTAAAATAAATTTGTTAAAAATAAGTAAAAAATATATTAGCTATATTTTAGTATAAACATGAGAATCCAACAAATGAATCACCAAAATGATAATTTTGGTGACAATTATTGGTTTTTCTTGATAAAATAGGGCAGTAAATTGGTTTAAACATCTTTGAAAAATTAAGGAAAAATAATAAAACCTTGGGATGTACTCATATATGCCTATATAGGCTATCTTAAGGGTATTATGCATATTTGAAAAATACAGGGAATATTTGTGTATCAACAGCTTCCCCTCTTTACCCGGGAAGGATGAAAGAGTTATCGGGTAA